GTTTCTCTAAAAGAGTAGGGGTGTTACCCCAGTGTCCTGGCCAAATTTCCCCCTGGTCTTTACCAGTCATGGCCTCCTAATAATCTGAACTGGCTCCATCACTCTGCTCTCCTCCCCACTGAGAGCTGGTGTGTGGGGAGCGGACTGGCTCATCCAGGTGGGGCTGCACACTGGTGGGGGTGGAGGGGAGCCCCATGACCTGTGAAAAGCTTTGAGTGGAGCGCTATACAAGTGTGCACAATTCTGTTAATCATTAATTCTAACACCTCGTCCTGTGAAAACCAGCGTGCATTCAGATAACAACACGACTCCTAGTGCTGTTGCCACTACACACCAGACCTGCACAGCAGGTCATTAGACGCGCAGCCCTGTTCGTGCACAGTCGGGGGCGACCGCATCGATAACATCGACAATAATCGAGCCCACGCCGGCTCCCGCAGGGGCTGACACTCCCCTGCGTGTCGATTCCACGCTCGCGCGTGGGACTGATCGCACAATCCCAACGGCCGCACGGGCTCCTCTCGGATTCCGGGGTTCCGGGGTTTCAGCGCGAGGCGGAGAGAATCGCTCGGACAGGCCGGTCGTGGGGGGTCCGGTAGTTCACGCGAGGTACCCTCTCCCTTCAAAGTCGGACCTCCTGCCTGGAGTAATTATCTCAGCATTAGTCGCCCCGGGTTTCAATCATCTTTCAATTATTTTTTTTAAACGACACCCCGCAGTAGGAATGCGTCGTGACACTACAACGATTCCGCCCTTTGAAGTTGGCGAGAGATTGAATTAATTAACAACACGGTCCTTAATTCAAGAGAGGTTTTCTTTCAAGGTCGCGCAGTTACTGGGAAACGTCCTGTGAAAATGAATTTCCGAGGAACCGCGGGTTTCAGATGTTGATCCTGCCTGCGGTCTGCGTATCGCGTTTTCAACCCCTCTCTTATTTTAGAGCTGTTTACTCATCGGGCTCGCCTGTAAACCTCAGAGGAGAGACGGCTGATAACCCGTATTGCTTAACAAACATTTTTCTCTCTCTGTGAGCGAGATGAAGTTGAAATCGCTCGGAAATAAATGTCTCCTATTGCACATTCGTGGCTTTGAAGTTTCAAAACACGAACAATAGCGATTGGCCCACTATCGGCGTCAATGAAATTCTGATTATAGTCTCGGTTAATAACTAACCCGGCTCACGATAAAGTCAGTCTAGTTACAACCGAGACGTGCCTCTACACTGCTGTCAGTGTCAGGGGAGTCTGATTCTAATCCCAGTTAATTTTTAATCCAGCTCACAGTAAAGTCAGTCCAGTCCAGCCTGGAGAGTCTCAGACTGCTCTGTCAGTGTCAGTGAGTCTGATTATAATCCCAGTGAATTATAATAATAATAATAATTGCATGCACTTATATAGCTCTTTCCTGGACACTCCAGTCAAAGAGCTTTACAGGTCATGGGGATCCCCTCCACCCCCACCTGTGTGTACCCCCACCTGGAT